AATGAGGACGTACTATTAATATATTCAGCAGTTTGTCATATCAACCTTCTTTGTCAACAATATTGCTACAGCACTGTAGAACTGACAAGTGTGTCATTTTCATTTTCTCACATAATAGTTACAGCAATTTTTTAGATGATTATTGTATTCACTTTAGAGTTGAGAAAACTATTTGAGAAGGCAAATGACTTGCTTGGGATTATATAGCTAGAAAGTCATAGAACTGGGATTGGTATCCCAATCTCCATATTTTAAATCTTATGCTCTTAGTATGATATCATGCTGTTCTGGAGGTAACTATAAAAATAATAAGAGTTATTATTTACTGAATGTATTCTATGATTAAGCACTTTTCTTAATCATAGAAATCTTAAACCTTGTATAGGTTATTTTACCTAATCCTCCAGTCAGTGAAGTTGTTTGTCATCATCACTGGGAAGTTAGATAACTTGTACATGGTTAGACACACCTAGTAAAAGCTGTAGAGTTGAGATTGGCCTGAGGAGTCGGAGCTCTTGGCCCTATGCTATCCTTTAGAATAAGGTAAGAAGAGGAATCCAAACTCAGAACTTTGGTTTGGTTCCTACAGGAATAAGAACTTTCCTGAGTACTAAATTAGAAAAGATATGGAGAGTGCCTGCCACATGACAGAGTCAACAAACATTACTTTTCCTTCCTTTCTTTGAGGAACCATTTTGATATATTCAAATGGTGTATTCTTTTTTTCTTTTTTCTTTTTTTTTTGAGATGGAGGCTTGGTCTGTCACCCAGGCTGGAGTGCAATGGCACGATCTCGGCTCACTGTAACCTCCGCCTGCCAGGTTCAAGCAATTCTCTGCCTCAGTCACCTGAGTAGCTGGGACTACAGGCGCATACCACCATGCCCGGCTAATTTTTTGTATTTTTAGTAGAGATGGGGTTTCACTATGTTGGCCAAGCTGGTCTCGAGCTCCTGATCTCATAATCCACCCGCCTCAGTCTCCCCAAGTGCTGGGATTACAGGTGTGAACCACCGCATCCAGCCTCAAATGGTATATTCTTATCCTGGCTCTGCCACTTACTTTTTGTCCTCTGGTCAAATATTTTTGACCTTCACAATACACTTAGTATTTGTAAGCCTTGGTATCCTGATTTTAAAAGTTGCTGTAATATTTACCTTTCAAGATTATTGTTAAGAATAAATAACATACATTTCACTAACAAAGAGCTCTTCAAAAAAATTAAAACTATTATAAGAGACTGATAGATCTGACTACATTAAAATGTAAAATATCTAAGTGTTAAAAGTGAACAATATAAAAAAGTACAAAGATTACTTAGACTTTTGTTGCTAGGACTAATCGTTTAACAGAAGTCCTCGAATATGTTTCATACACTCAGAATAGTAATGAAAGTAGAAGGACTAAAAAGATTTCTGTATCAAATTATTTTTTATTTCTAAAGTGCAGACAAAGGCCACAATTTATATTTTGATTATAACACTTTAGCTGAATATCAGACATGGGCTTATATATTGCAAAACACAGAAAAACACAGAAAAGTTACAACGTATCTTCTTGTGGGTTTTTCATAATGTCAAAACTAAAATGAATTTGCCTATAAAGAAAATGGAGTCATTGAATATGCTTTGTATAAAAGATAAGCCCAGAGTAATGAAGACTGTGTCATCACTTATATAGATGTGTGTATTGGGGGTGTATCTTACAGATGGACAATCAACACACATTATGCTTTGGAAGATAATGAACAGAAGACCTATCAAAGAAAAAGAAAAAAAATACAAGTGGCTAAATATGTGAAAAACTGTTCAATTTCACTGTTAAAGAAACACAAAATAAACAAGATGCAACTTTTTACCTATTAGTGTGGCTAAAGATTAAAAGGAATAATTTTCTTTTTTTTTTGAGACGGAGTCACGCTCTGTCGCCCAGGCTGGAGTGCCGTGGCCGGATCTCGGCTCACTGCAAGCTCCGCCTCCCAGGTTCACGCCATTCTCGTGCCTCAGCCTCCCGAGTAGCTGGGACTACAGGCGCCCGCCACTTCGCCTGGCTAGTTTTTTTTGTATTTTTTAGTAGAGACCGGGTGTCACCGTGTTAGCCAGGAGGTCTTGATCTCCTGACCTCATGATCCGCCTGTCTCGGCCTCCCAAAGTGCTGGGATTACAGGCTTGAGCCACCGCGCCTGGCCTAAAAGTAATAATATTTTAAGCCAGTGGTTCACAGTGTAGTCCCTAGACTGGCAGCATCAGTCTCATCTGGAAATTAATTAGAAGTACAAATTCTCAAGCTCCACCACGGTCTAAAATCAGAAATTTGCAGTAGGGCCCAGAACTCTAATTTAACAATCCTTCTAGGTAATTCTGCTAAAGTTTGAGAAAACTATTCTAAAGTGAAGTTGTAATGAGCCAGGTACTTCATATTTTACTGGAAGAAAAGTAAATGGATAGAATTCTAGAAAGCAGTTTGGTAATATGTGTCAAAAATCTCAAAATGTTCATATTATTTGACCCCCAAATTTTACTGTTAGGAATATTCCTTAAGGAAGTGATCAATTTCTGATCATTTCAGCACAATTTAAAGTAGCAGAGATTGGAAATAACCTTATAACTATATATAAAGGAATGGGCTAAAAAAAAAAAAAAAAAAACTATGGTGCATCCATGTGTGTAGATAAAGAGATTCACATAGGAGAGTTACTAGAGGTAAATATTTAAAAAAATGTTAATAGTTATCTTTCTGGTTGTGGGGTTACATTGACATTCTATGTAGCAGGGCTACAGGAAATGTAAACAAAGGGAACAATGGTTTGGTTTATAAGAATCATTTCTAGATAACCACATTACAGTTTCTCTGAATACAGTGTAATTGGAAGTGATTAAAGTTTCCCTTTCCCTCCTTTTTCTTTCTGTGCTCTTATCCAGTGCCCACTTGCTGGAGGTATCAGTCTCTCCTTGATTTCCCTGTTGCTAAAACTACTTTTTTATGCTCTGTTTCAATGATATTGCTCCTTCTCATTGTTTACTCTTTTTATCCTATCATTTATGAATTTAGAAACTAAATTTTAAACTGTAAAAGTTTAGAATTATGTTTTAATACACATGGTGTTACTCAAACAGATGTCAAAATATAAAATTGTGTCATGTACAATAATGCTACAGTTGTACTACAGCATAGTATAAGTCACCTTGGAGTCAAATAAATCTGAGCCTAAATCTCAGTGCCATTTTCTAATTTTGTGACCTTGGACATATTATTTAAGTCTTTCTACTTCATAGCTTCTATAAAGTAGAAATCATAATACTTTTTCAAAGGTATTTTTGTGAAAATAAATGACCACATCCACTTAGTGCCTCATACAGAGCCACACAGAGTAGCAATAAAAATTTATTAATTCCTTTTTATCTTTTTACCCATGACAATATAATATAATGAGTTGCTTTCAATTTGCAAAGATCTTTAAAGAGGTGGTGACAGAAAGCATTTCTGTTACACTGTTATGAGAATGAATGTTATTTACCCAAAATGAATGTTATCTATGGAAGATCCCCACAGAGATCCACTTAATTGAGTTATGATTATATATCTCATTTCAAAATTTATAACGTTTCCATATTTTTCATATGGCATTATTTTAATTATTTAAGTTTAATTATTTTGAACAGCTATCTTCAGGCTTTATAAGATTATCTCAAAATGACACAGCTGCATTTATTTTAGGTCACCAACATCTTTGTTAAGCAGAATAGCATACGATCCTATCAGGTTGAAATCTACAAAAATGCATCTGGAAATTAAAATAAATAAATGACAATCAGTGAATTTCCATAATACATATAAACGAAATGAACATTCTTAATCTTGAAAATCAGTATGAAAAACCAAAGCAACCTTATAAAAATGGCAAAGGCTTTTGAACAAACTGGGTAGTAATCATATGAAAACATGATTAGCATTGCCCATAAAGAAATGAAAATCAGAATAATAATGAGATATATTTTTAATTCATATCAGCAAATATCTCAAAGACTTACACTCAGATCAGAAAAACAGATCCTCTCACATAATATTGGTAAAAATATAAATTGGTACAGTCTTTTAAAAGGTCAAATTGACAGTATCAAAAGAATAAATACGAGTCCTCTTTCCTAGAGCAATCTTATTTCTAGAAATTTATTGTATAAACTAAAACATATGCTATATTTTGTTGATTTTAAGATACATATTTTTATATTTTAATATTTCTGAAATTAGAATGTTATGTTATAGTTTAATTGGCACTAATTTTTTTCTTTCTTGATGGCATATGAAATAATTGTGTTTTTTACAATTGACAGACTCAGAGTTTATGAAATATGGTATGTAAGGATATATTTTTTTTTTTTTGAGACGGAGTCTTGCTCTGTCGCCCAGGCTGGAGTGCAGTGGCCAGATCTCAGCTCACTGCAAGCTCCACCTCCCAGGTTTACGCCATTCTCCTGCCTCAGCCTCCCAAGTAGCTGGGACTACAGGCGCCTGCCACCTCGCCCAGCTAGTTTTTTGTATTTTTAGTAGAGACGGGGTTTCACCGTGTTAGCCAGGATGGTCTCGATCTCCTGACCTCGTGATCCGCCCGTCTCGGCCTCCCAAAGTGCTGGGATTACAGGCTTGAGCCACCGCGCCCGGCCGGTATGTAAGGATATATTATTGAAGCACTGTTTATCTTGGCAGAAAACTAGAAACAACATAAATATCTATAAAATGCAATACTCTGTAGCCATTACAAAGAATAAGGAAGGCATTACGGTAGTATGACCGTGATATATTTTAAGTAAAGGCATCAAGTTATAGATTAATGTGTAAGGAGAAAAAAAAGATGAACATTGGGTGTACATTTGCATATGCATATAATACAGCTTTTATAATGAAATATTTTATTAATTTGATACTAAGACAGTATCTGGAAAGCAAACTTAATCTCATTAGAAAAGAGTCATGAGCAGAAAAACTTAAAATTAAATTCACCTTTTCACTGGTCCATCCCATGCCTGCAAGGAAAGCCATGACCAACGTGCACAGTCCTCCTGATCCAGGGAAACCAAAATGCACACTGCTGAACACAGCTAGCACAGACAACCCCAGCACAAGGAATGTTCTCTTACACACAAGTTTGTCCTTTAGGAGAAAAAAATTCATTTGCTCCATTATTTCAAATCCCTGATTTTTAACGATTGATTTTTTTCCATATCTAGGATTTAGAAAGAAAATAAAAATTAAAATGTCTATATAAATAGACAAAACAAGTGCACTACCTAACATTTACTTTCTTTTCTTCAACAAAAGCAGAGTTAGCACACTGCAAAGGTGAACTCTTCTTTCAGGAACACCAGTTCTTTTCCTCTGCAGTTATCAATGCAGAATTTAACAGGACTTAATGAAGTAGCAGAAAAAAAAGTACATGAGCTTTGGAGCTGGACAGACCAAGATGAAACTTATATCTTTTATACATTGTTGGCGTATGTAGTGGTCACATTACTTAACCTCTCCAAGCTTTGTTTCCTGAAAGCATTTACATCATAGGATTTGTGTGAAGGTTAAATATATATCTCTATTATTTTCAGGTTCTATGTTTACTGTTTTAAATTTGACGCCCCCTCGGTTTTTCTTTCTAAATCTTTGAAAACCAGGAAGCTTTAAGAGGTTCTAGACTGACAGTAGTTTTTGTTGCTGTTGTTTTAAAGTCTAAGAGTTGTGTACCTTTTTCCCTTTACTTTTCCCTGTCCAGGCTTTTAAACTTCTTGATCACTTTAGAAAGTATGTCTTTTTTTTTTTTTTTTTGAGACGGAGTCTCGCTCTGTCACCCAGGCTGGAGTGCAGTGGCCGGATCTCAGCTCACTGCAAGCTCCACCTCCCGGGTTTGCGCCATTCTCCTGCCTCAGCCTCCCGAGTAGCTGGGACTACAGGCGCCCGCCACCTCGCCCGGCTAGTTTTTTGTATTTTTTTTTTTTTTTTAGTAGAAACGGGGTTTCACCGCGTTAGCCAGGATGGTCTTGATCTCCTGACCTCATGATCCGCCCGTCTCGGCCTCCCAAAGTGCTGGGATTACAGGCTTGAGCCACCGCGCCCGGCCTAGAAAGTAGGTCTTTAAAAGTGCTTGACTTGGCAAAGGCATGCAAGCTCTGAAGGTGAATTACCTGAGTTCATTCCCAGTTCCACTGCTTTCTAGCTATGTGACTTTGTTCAAGTCACTTATCCTGCCTAAGCCTCAATTTCCTTATCAGTAAAATGGTCATAGTAATAGAAATCTCTTTATGAACTCTTTTGTGGGTTGTAGTAGAGCAGTGCTTTCCAACATAATGTTTAGTGATGATGGAAATGTTCTGTATCTGCTATAGTCACGTGTAGCTAGTGGCTACTGTACTGAACAAAGTGGCACTAGATGATGACTGACTGATTTATGTATGTGTGTATGCATGTATGTATTAGATATGGGCTCTTGCTATGTTGCCAGACTGGACTCAAACTCCCAGAGGGATCCTTTTGCCTCAGCCTCCTGAGTAGCTGGGACTACCAGGCCTGGCTAGAATCTAAGGTATTTTGATACTAAAAAAGGGTACAAAAAAGCTACTACACATCTGGGTTTAGTTGAGTATTATGAACATTTAAAAAACTTGCATATCCTATTACTTTGGAACTGATATTTGTTTTACAATGAAATTTGAAATGTACAGAATATAAAATAGAAACCCATTACAGGACTGCATTAAAATCTTCCGTATTGAGCCCACTTCATAAATCTCATGGATGGCACTAAGCAATTTTAAAATGAGGGACCACTTGCACAAACATGCCCTTCACATCTGTCTTTGAAGGAAGTGTTCTAGAATGTTTTCCCAATGATATTTAAGAGCACAACTTTCCCACATATTATTTTTTCACCTGGTCACAGCTTGGAAAGTACTGAATGAAAAATCCAAGAACAGATCCAGTTGCCACACCAATTACCACCTCCAAAACTCCTCTGAGGACGTTAAAGACAGTGGAGCCTGAAAAATACATTTAAAAAAACTTAAGAGCTCTAAATCCAACAAATACAAGTTTTATTCCACAATCATCAACATAAAGCCTCTAATTACAAAGAAGAAAAATTTTAAAGACAGTTTCTGCTTTCCATATTCTTAAACATGTAAGTAGAACCTACATTTTCCCCCATAGCATATAGGATTTAGGAAACTTCAATTAAAAATTTTTTTTTGTTAGCACATTGTGCAGAAAATTATATTAAAGCTTTTCCACACATTAAGCTCTTCTTCACAGACTGTCCTAAGAAAAAATGTACTAACTAGTTTCTGTGGTCTGTTGTTATTATGGCAATCATCCTTCTTATCTAAATAAAATTACCTCTGAAGTAAGGATAGCTTTCTACCAGGTAATGCTATGACTGTTAAAAGCATCTAGCTGTGATAGTAGCATTATGCTTAAGCTATTGTGGTAATAATTTACTATGAATGTGTAGAAAGTAGCTAATTAGCTTTAGTCTCTGGTATATTGAGGTGTTAAAAAAAATGTCTTGGGCCCCACCCCTAAAAATCTGATTCAGTAAGTCTGGCAGGGCTCAGATCCAAAAGGTCTAAGGACCACACTTAGTTGGTGGGGTGGGGGGGGGGAGGGGCGGGGAGAGGAAACACAGCAGAGTCAACTAGGAAGGTTCTTTGAGCTGTAGCTTATGAAAACCTGACTGCCTCTGTCCTTTCTCCTCCCATCACCATGATTCTAATGCAAACTCTGTTGCTCTAAAGCTGTGGTTCCTAATCCAAGCTGCACTGGTTTCCACTCCCAAAGGTTCTGATTTAATTGGTCTAAGATAGGACCTACATAAGAGTATTTTTAAAAACCACCCAGGTAATTCTAGTGTGATGCTAAGGCTGAGCAAAATTGTTTTAAAGGTGTATACCAGGACAGCGGTAAGAACATAAATTTGGATATGTGTAGTAGCATTAAAAATAGGAGTATGAGTTTGACTTAATAGGTAACAGAGCATCCGCATCCTCAAGGGTTCTTGAACAAGAAAGAAATGTAATGAAAACAATGTTTTGAGAAAATCAATTTACCAGGGAATGAATGGAAGGCAGGCTCCGGAGCAACGAGAAAGGGTGGGATTCTAGGTAACAGGCATAAATCATACACAATCATAGAATGGGAAGATAACTATAGGGAGATAACAAGAATGTATAACCTGCCAAGAAGATGTGTTCCCACTACAGAATCTGAAGCTAAACTTAGATTACAATTATACTTTGTCAATCATATAATGTTGCAAATTTTATTTCCCAATTTTGAACATAAGATTAAGAAATGGGCCAGGCGCGGTGGCTCACGCCTGTAATCCCAGCACTTTGGGAGGCCGAGACAGGTGGACATCAAGGTCGAGGAGATCTGAGGACTCATCCCTTGGCTTAACACAGTGATAACCCCTCTTCTATCTATAATAATCAATAAAATAGTTTTTGTTTTTGTTGTCTTGATTTTTTTTTGTTGTCTGGGCTTGTTTCCTGTTTAGTCCCATGCTTACTCTGGTTTATGTGCTTGAGTGTCAGTTGATTTGCATGGCATTAAACCCGGGAGGCGGAGCTTGCAGTTGAGTGAGATTACCTGAGTCTACTGCTACTCCTTTGCCTGGCGTGCTGACACTCATGGTGAGACTCCCGTCTTCTTCTCAAAAATAAAAACAAAAAAAAAAAAAAAAAAAGAATGAATTAAACATATTGGTGCTGTACTCACAGTGATATATAAGTGTTGTAACTGTTTCTTTTGGCTGCTTCTGGTAAGATCAAGTGTAGTATCTTCACATCAGTAATTATAGGTGTTGAAAACAGATGGTGAGAACAAAATAACTTAAGTCCTCCTGTTTATAATTTTTTTTTACTGTATATTACTTTATATGCTCAATTTCAGACATTTTACTAAAATTAATAGGACATCACTTAAATTCATTGTCTGTTTTATTACCATGATATAT